TTGTATAAACATAACTAGGTGAAACTGCAAAACATCAGGTTGTTAAAGACTATTTAATGATATATTAAATAATTGACACTCACTGATGTAAAAACATAGTGCAGCTTTGGCCCTTATGCCCAGCTGCGGCAGCTGGCTGAAGTTCAGCCTCTTTGGAAAGCAATTTGGCAACATGTTTGAGGAATCAGGACACTGGTTGGAGACGTGGTTCCCCTCATTGCCATTCTAAGAATTTTACTTCAAGAAATAATTCCCCCAAAAAAGGGAGGAAGGAAGCATGGAAATGCTCATTATAGCCTTATTCATAATTGGCAAAATTGGTCAATAAAATGTGTCAGTCAGGAGTTTGGAACAAAAACCTAAATGGGGAATTGATTTGTAAATTATTCTTCACCTGCTCAATGATGTAGCATTAGCCCTAATAATGATAAATATCATGTGTGACAAGGACAATGCTTATGGCATAATGAGGGCACAATTGTCTCTACACTGTTATTACAATGAAATAAAGTTACATTTGTTTAAAAGATTTGGAAGGAAATATAAAAACCAAAAACAATATGACTTCTAAAGTTGGCCGAATTATGAGTATATGGCTTTTATTTTTTTAATCCAAAATTTCTGACAACTAAATGTACTATCTAGAATATAGACCAAAAAAACCATAAAGAAACACACCCAAGAATGCCTAATGATTCTCTATAGCTGTGGGATTACAGGGACTTCGTATTTTATTGCATGCTTCTCTATACTTTCTAAATTATCCTTATGATGAGCATATGTTATTTTACCTCAATTTTTTTCCTGTTATAAAAGTATAAATATTATTTTTAAGATAAAAATAATATTATGTTTAAAAATATGATGAAAAAATCTCCCTTTGGGCATGAATTAAAATGATGCTTAATAGGGTAATAGCTTTCTTTGTAAAGCATAAATCCTGGAAATGTAATAAACAGAAATAATAGCACATTAAAGTGGCTATAAATGTGTGAAATATATTTATTGTTTAAGCCAACTACAGATTGTGAAATTTGTAGCTTAAAGTTTTAAAGGAAAGTAAAATCATTACTTTAAAGGGTTAATTTCTACAGCTGTTTTTTCCCTCTGAATATTCAGGCTCCAATTTAAGTAAAGATCAATCGGTTTAAAAAGCTCAGAAAGAGGCCGGGC